TTGAGAGGAACCAGCTTTAAAAACAAACAGAACACTGTGTTTGTATTGATTAGCATATCCTGTATACAATTGACATTTGTATTGTATTGTACTCAATTGATTGTATATTCATTCATCTCTTCTGGTTATTAACCTTAATTAGGTAGTTTGACTCCCTAGCTCTTTCCATTGGTGAGGCAGTGAGCTGCAGATTGGATTTAGGAGCTGGCTGATGGCAAGGATTGCTAGGGCATGAAGCCGCATGTTGACCTGTAGACTTTATATTTTATTATGTCAACACTTTTAGTTGTTTGTCACTGGCAAGGAGAGCACTCTGGCTGTGTTACCGAAAGTTATTTTGTCTTCCCTCTATACCATTTTCTTTCTATATCCTCTTTCTGCTCTTCTCTCTCCTTCTGTAATATCTTTATTGCATCTTCCAAGTTGTTACAAATGACTTTATTCATACCCCTACACAATTCCACTCCCTTCATTTGGCCTTTAACTTACAGGTAGAGAAGTATATTGGGAAGATATCTAACATACTGAAAGACTCCTCTCATCCGGGATATCAGCTCTTTAAACTATTACCATCAGGAAGGAGATTCAGGGTATTGAAAGCAAGGACAAGCAGATTCAAGAACAGTTTTTACCCAAGTGCAGTATTGAGTTTAAATGCGGGGCCATAGGTTTTTGGTGGAATTTTAATTGCTGAGAGAAAACGGGGTATCTATATTTGGATGGTGAAAGTTGTGTATATTTTAACTTTTTTTTGTAGTGTTGTCCAGTTTTACCTTGGGGAAGAGCACCTCATTTCGTTGCACCCACTTGTGAGCGCAATGACAAATAAATTTCTTATGTCTTATGTCTTATATGCCCTTCCATTGTATATTGCTCCTTTCTTGGTTTCATATCTATGTCTTCAAGCAGAACTCTTCACAACAGAGGAGAGTAGATGAAAGTAGCATGTAGCAATGAGACAGGAGAATGTGCAGTGGGACAAAACTTTCCTGGCACATCAACGTGGTTCAATGCAGATTCATCTGATTGCAGCCTGGCAGTTCTGCCTAAGATGGAGTGTTGAAAGTCAGGCCTCCAAAATATCCCTGTTCAAACTTTTCAAAGGAAAAAGAGAAAATGGCACTTTAGAATTTTATTTATTGCATTATAATCTTCTGTAAGCCTTCACCATCTTTCCTCCAGTTTGAAAAGTCTTCTTTATACAGTGGACCCTCCACTTACAGATGGCTCAACTTAGAGACTTTTCGAGTTACAGACTTCTCTGGCTGCAAAATTTAGGTTCGACTTGCAGCCTGAGAATCGACCTACAGACCAGAAAAAAACCGAAAACGGAACAAAAATGAAACAAAAACAGCTGGTTACAGGATTAATTGGTTTTCAATGCATTGTAGGTCAATGGAGACTCAACCTACAGACTTTTCAACCTGCAGCCACCATTCCAATACGGATAAATTCCTTAAGTAGAGGGTCCACTGTAAAATTAACAATGCAGTACCATCTACTGTACATCTACCGTACTTAGAACTTAGTCCTGTTGATCAGTATCTTATTGTTTGTCTCAAGCTTCTCTTTCTGATTCACTGGAATTTATAAGTGTTGACTTACCAGTTCAGTGAGTCTACCCTCTAGCTGACATTAACACTGATTTGCTGGCAGAGTTCGTGTCATAAGTCAGAAGTGACATCACTGCACGTCATGACAACAAAGTGTAGGGCTGCAGCCTAAATCCCATTTGAGGAACCGATATGTTTCAGTCCTTTCTGGACTAATAGCTTGACTGTACATTACTGATTTTACCAACTTCATATAATACACTATATCCTTCCCCCCCCTTCAAATGCATTTTATGTTTAAGGGTCTCAAAATTCTGATTTGTATTATATAAGAATGCAGTCTCTAATATAAAGTTACTTATGTGCCATCAAGTTGGAACCAGCTTACATCAACTGTGATATTTCAAGGTAAGTAAAAAATTAAGAGTGGTTTTACCAGTTCCAAACTCCCAGTAAATTTCCATGGCTGAATGGGGATTTGAACTCAGGCCTCCTGAGTCCTAGTCCATTACTCTGTTCACTACACCACACTGGTTATTGCCTTTTTATAAACAGCCAATCTCTTCCAAAGATAATTAGTTGCAATTAATGTTTTCTTTTTGTGATTTTGCTATTTTGACTTTAGCATCAGGTATCAGGTTCAACACTGGACTGGGTCAACACATTTTGAAAAATCCCCTTGTTGTTAACAGCATTATAGAAAAGGTAAGTCATTATGTTAGATATCAAAATTATATTATTATAGTTGGAGATGATATACCCTTTCCTGGAAACTCTGATGAACAATAATTGTTGGTTAATAGAAAAAAAATGAGAGTTAGGGAAAGGAAAATATAAACAACTTCAATTAAGGTAAACAAAAATATTGTTCTGTATGCAAGCTAGCTATATTTAAAGACATCCAGTTTCAGATGTCTTTGGATTGGTTTATTTAGCAGTAAACGCTGCTCCATTCAAAGTTGCTAGTTAGGGAAAGGAAAATATAAACAACTTCAATTAAGGTAAACAAAAATATTGTTCTGTATGCAAGCTAGCTATATTTAAAGACATCCAGTTTCAGATGTCTTTGGATTGGTTTATTTAGCAGTAAAAGCTGCTCCATTCAAAGTTGCTATATCAGAAATAACAACTAAAATGGCATTCAATTCTGTCTCTTTGTGGTTATAGTTTAAATTTAGATGACTGTGGGATAGGATTTTGTTCTGTGTTAGCACTGAATGCACTACATTAAAATGCTACATGGTATCTACTCAGTGATGTTTTGTCCAGGATTGGGTTATTATTTTAAAATCAATGTTTATGCTACTGTATTTTAATTTATCTTTTAGGCTGCCTTGCGCCCTACAGATGTTGTTCTTGAAGTTGGTCCTGGCACTGGTAACATGACAGTAAAAATGTTAGAAAAGGTGAAAAAGGTAAACATCTGTTAAGAAATAATGACTAAGTTGTATGTGTTTTTCAAATGTAACTAATGGGAAACCTCAGATGGAATATAAATGTTCTCTCAGATTATTTAGTTACACCCACAAAGCATCCCAATGTTATATGATTTTTCACTGGCTTAAATGAATCCTAAGTAATTTCATGATGAGAACTGGATGCATATGATGCCATCCAAATGCAACCTGTAAAAAGCTTGTATGATTAATTTGGCACCTATTGCTAAAATTGAAGTTTGATCAGTATTGTACACAGATGTAATGTAATTCTGGTTCAGTGGCTGAAATGCTTTTGCTTAGTGCAATAAATCACAACTAGCATGGCCCATTAAATCAATGGGGATTTGGTCAGTCAACCCCTCTGTAATTTCCACTGATTCCATAAGCAGACTTTAGTTGTACTTTCTTATGCTGAGCAAGAGGATTTTGGTCACTGTATATGAAGTGCATGAAAAGTCATTTGTATATGATTCTCTTTCAGGTAATTGCTTGTGAGCTTGACGTAAAACTTGCTGGTGAACTTCAGAAAAGAGTTCAGGGCACGTAAGTGCTCATAATATAAAATAATATCATTGATTAGAAATTGTCTTGGAAATGTACCAATGAGATGAAGTTGTTTTTCATTCCAGGCCTTTGGCTAGCAAGCTTGAAATAAAGATTGGGGATGTACTGAAAAGTGACTTGCCGTTCTTTGATGCTTGCGTAGCTAACTTGCCTTATCAAGTAAGTGCAAATGAACTTGTTAGAAAATAGGGCCAGTTGACTTCTGGTTTGGAATCATAAATGTCGTCTTCTCATTTTGTTTTCAGATTTCCTCTCCATTTGTATTTAAGCTGTTGCTCCATCGGCCATTCTTCAGGTACAGTATGTTAAAAAGAACATACATCTGCAAAAATACACATTTTAAAACATATATATATTTCATGAGGTTCTATGGGTGACTGAGTGCTGTTTAGTAGTATCAGCAACCATTGAAGAAAAATATGTGATGAAACCTACTGTTTTTCCTCTCTCCCTCAAGCTGAGTTTCATTTGATTTCATCTACAAATATTGATATGCCTTTAAAGGCTGTGTTGTTTTGGGAAAATATACCGTTTTGGGAACATATAAGAAGAATGGTCAACTGCAATATACTGGTTCCTCAGAAAAGAATTTGTTTGCTGCAATGGATATTTTTTCATCAGTAATTAACATGAATCTAATTGCTAAAAAAAGTTATAAAACAAATACTTGAAAAATTACTGTAAGATGAATTTCTGGTGTCTTCAGCATCTTATTCCATCTTCGGTGCTTCTTTTCTTTTTTTGCCATTTTGTTGCCATGCCCCATAGTGAGGAGGCAAGAGATAGTTGCATTAAAAGTCTTGAAATAGAGGTTAAATTGCATTTTGTATTGGCCATATCCTCTTTCCATCCAAAACTATGAGCACTTGAGTATTGACCAGTGGTGCAGCTTGACTTGTGCAGTAAGCCACTAAATGTCTTTGAGCCATGTAGGAAAGCAGTTTGTAAGTTAGTTAATCAATTACAAAACAAAATGAAGACGTGGAGCTTTTGACTTGTTTAGAACCTGCTTCAAGGAAGTATGACTCAGAAACACCTCTCTCTCTTTAATAATTCCTAGGTGTGCAGTTCTCATGTTCCAAAGAGAATTTGCTCTTCGCTTGGTTGCAAAACCAGGTTCTCCCCTATATTGTAGGCTGTCTGTAAATACCCAGTTACTAGCCCGCGTTGATCATCTAATGAAAGTAAGTGAAATAGGTCACTAATATAGGGTGGTGGCCTTTCAGATCAAAATATAGGGGAGAGCGCATTTTGTGAATGCATTTTTGTTGGGAGTTAACTTTATGTTGATTAACAGGTTGGAAAAAATAACTTTAAACCACCACCCAAAGTTGAATCCAGTGTTGTGAGGATAGAACCAAAGAACCCTCCTCCACCAATCAACTTTCAGGTGAGACTTTTTAGTATTAATGTAAGATCCATGATAATAACACACATAGTGTGCAAAAATTCACCCATGTGCATCATCTTCTGTACATCTTTTCCAAAATGGTTTCAACCAGGTATGGGAAATCTGTGGCCTTCCAATTTTTGGTGGTGTGCAGTACCTGTCAGCTTTAGCACGTATAGAGAGGGATTTGCAGTCCCTAATACATTTAAGCAGTGACAGCTATGCTACCTCCAGTGCACTGTTTCTTGTGAAAGCTAACATGAAGCATTAGTTGCCGATAACCACATATTTCACATGGAGGTGCATGGATCCTTTCAGTGCAGTTGTCACCATTGCATTTTGCATGTGTTTTCAGCAAAGCCAGAATTAGACATCAGTTGAAAAAAAGGACCAATGAATAATGTCTCGTTTCTGGTTAAAGGCAGCCGAGTTTGATTGAAAAGCTCTAATAGCACTATACTTTGAAGCTGAGGTTTGAACATTTGCATGGAGGTGGCAGGCAGGGTGTTTTCATTGTCCTGTCAAAGTTCCATGGAATATGTTATTCTTAAAGTTGTAAGTGTCCACAGGATCCCAAATCAAGCCTACAAATTGTGCTCTGATAGAGTGGCACTCTAGCAGTATGGGCAAGACAAAAAGAAATACTTGGGAAACATTTAGACTGAAGAAGGTAAGAGCAGAAGAGGGGACTGACAGAGTGCTTAAGAGATATCTAGGGAATAAGCAGGAGCTCAGAAGTGAGGAAATTAACAAATTGGAAGACTTGCCAGGTAGCAGATGCACTGTAATCTCTATACTTAAAAAGGTACAAAGAGGAATGTATGGCGTAAATAAAATATCTTTTCTTTTTATTTAGGAGTGGGATGGCCTGCTGAGGATCGTCTTTGTCAGAAAAAACAAGACTCTCGCCGCAGTTTTTAAGTAAGTTACTCGTAGCAGAGGACATGTTTTGCTTATAGCTATGGACTTGCTTTCCTTCCTGCAACAAAGCTTTTTTGTCCCTTGAATTGCTTGTTACAAACTATTCTGGGCAGTTGGTGTTGGCACTGTTTGGGTGTTTGCTCCCCTGAAACTCTGAGTAAGTGTTGTGTCTCATGGACTAGGTTTTATGTGAACCATATAAGCTGATGGCTCCACTTTTAAGAGTTAAAAAACCAAACAAACTATGTGTGATCTTTTCTGCTTATTTCAGTTCAAATGCTGTAAAGAACTTGCTGGAACAGAACTACCGAATTCATTGTTCTCAAAATAACTTGGTAAATTTGTTACTTTTTTTCTTGCTTTTACTCTTAGTTTACAGTCTTCACAAACATTGTTGTCTTGCTGTTGATTTGATATGAATCACATGAAGCAAATTCTCTGTCTGCTTTATGTTGACAGGAAATTCCTGAAAATTTCAGTATTGGAAATCTTATTCAGGGAATTCTAAAGGACACTGGCTACTCAGAAAAACGAGCACGAGTAATGGATATTGATGATTTCATCAGGTGAAACCAAGTCCATTTTCTTCTTATTTGAGTGTTTTGCATGGAATCTTTCAAATAGATGCTTCATATTTCCAAATTGATAGCCAGATAGGTATGCTGCAATGCCATGTTAGTTGGTGGACTGCCCCATATTGTTTGATGAGACACTCTGCCTACTATGTACATGATGTCAGATTAAATGTATTTGAGGCCAGTTCAAACACGTAACACACTTTGTGGGTCGTACCAACTTGCAAGATACCTCTAGCATCATGCCTACTCCTTTGCTGTGTTAGCTGTCATAGAGGTGGGCCAAGATTTTCCTCTTATAAGTCATGGAAAGCAGGGTGGAATGATACGTTGTTTTGCAAACATAGCCATGGGATGGACAGCTGGGCTGGGACATGTTGACCCAATAAAAGCAACATAACTGAAAGGAAGAATTGTACCATTTCCCAGGAGTCACTGTGTTTCAGCATTGAGGAAAGTGCTGCAACAGCTTTGGTGGTCATGATGCAGTGCAGTGTTTTGTGGGGTCAAAATATAGTGCCGCAACTGATGGGGGTGCAAGGTAAAGCCAGGGCATTTTGTGAAAGGCACTGCATATTTCACTTTATATATCACCAGTAGTTTGTGCTATCGTTTGTGCTGTGTGTGTAAATAGTTCATATCTTATCTTGGCCACAGAATTGGGTTGTACTGATTTAAATGAAGGAAGAAAGGATTATTTCCTCCCAGGACAAGCTTCAGGCAAAAGCTGGACATCTTGAGTGCTCCCTTTTTGCTTCTGAAAACCAAAAGAGGGATATCCTTAGACCAGTATCCTGTTGCCTAAACAGAATGGAAGGGAAATCGCATAAGCATTCCACCAACTTCAGCAGGTTCTCTCAGGCGGGACCAGCTGAGTGGTCTATCTTGCAAATAGTCTCCTGTTTCTTATGAATGAAATGTGAACACCAGTTAAAATGTAAATCGTGACAGGGAACCTATGAAGACAGGTTTCTGTGATGCCTCTTCCATTCCATGACTAGGCAAGAGGATATTTTCATTCCCAAATGTCTGAATTGTCTTACTAGCAGCTTTGCACAGCATTGCCAGTTTGAAGAGTCAAGCTGATTGCTACGGTCAGATGTTTTAGTTCTTAGGGAAGTTGTTCAGGAAGAATAGAATGAGTGATGGAATAAAAGTATTATTATGTACTAGGCTTCAGAAGCTGTTTTCTTTAAGTAGAACATGGCAAAAGGGGGGAGGGAACCACCCTGTTTTTCCTGCATTGGAAGCTGGAGACAAAAGAACTGGGAAGTATTTGATGTTGCCATCTTTGTGCCATATAAATAAGCTTCCCTAAGAACTGATTTTCTTTTTCTTTTTTCAATCTTGCAGTGTTTTGCATGGCTTCAATTCAAAAGGTATCCATTTTTCCTGAAGAGAAGAATATAACGGAAGATAACTAGCACAACTCTATTTTATAACATTAGATTGCATTTTATAAATAAAACTGGTGTTAAAATTTCACTCATAAGGAGCATAACATTGTCTGTTCTTACACATCCAGCTGAACTGAATAATAGAATTAAGTGAGATCCGTTCTACAGCACAGACAGCAACTGTTACACTTTCCTGAGTTTTCTGCTTTGTTCTTGAGGATAAGGTTAGGGAAGGAGTTGCCCTCCAGATGCAGTAGGACTGCTCACCTTACCTTCACCTTGGTCTTTGATTGCCAAGTATGATGGAAGTTGCAATCTGATTACATCTGGAGGGCCATGTGCCTGCCCCCCCAAAACACACACTAGAACATCTGATGTAGAGTATAAAACCCAATGACTATTGCTGAGTTTTCTGAAAGGTATCTCTTTATTTTTCCAATTGTATTGACTTGACCAGACCAGCACAAGCACCTACCAATTTTATTTTTCCAATTGTATTGACTTGACCAGCACAAGCACCTACCAATTAAAGCACAAATATTACAAGCCGGAGTGTTACTAGGAATGTGCACAATGTTTGGAGAAATATGACAAAACAGACTGGATTGGGAGGAACAAAGTGTAACTGGTTGCTCACAAGGTGGAGCAACACGTCCACAGATCCTTGCATTCCCTTTGAGATTTGTGGGATTAAAAAGTTTTTAAGCAAGGATGCCGAGAGAGTTCATCTGAGGGAAAGAGACATTAGAAAGTCTTACACAGAATCAATTACTGAGTTGCTGGCATCAAAGGGGAGGATGAATGACAGCTGAACCCCCAATAAGGCCCAAGATCTCCCCAGGACATTCCAGATACTGAGGTGCTTAGGCGGGCTTGTGGCACACTGTATTCCCTTGCAGCTACTTAACCAGCCATGTCACATTCTTTCCAAACACCCCTCCACCAAAGTTACTTGTTGGTGCAGTGGGGAAAGTAAATGCCACTGCCTGCTGGCTTCTGTGTCATAACATGCCTCTGCCTCCCAGCCTCCATCATCATCATTATTTTCAATTTGTATACTGTATTCTATGGACAGTTTACAGCATAATTATGCAAGGTTAGGTTTTCTGCCACAGTCTAAATCTCTTCCCCCAACTGGGTGCATCCAACTTCTACTGTAGATCTCTAATGCTTTAGAAAAGTGGTGTTCCCACTCTCCTCGATTTATCTAAAAACAAGGCATTAGTCTACTTCAATTGCTTGTTCTTTCTAGCTACGTGGTTACAAGTAAAAGCTCATTACCTCTCGGATTTTCACAAGCACACAAACCTTGCTATCTTTTCTTGACCTTATCCATAGAATAGTGCAAGCTAGTACATATCCAATCCTCTTCTGGGCTCGCTACAAATGAGCAGCCACCACTTTTTCTAGTTTATTAAGTAAGTCACCCTTTGACTCGTTTGTATCACATCTACCTTAGCTACCTGAACTGCCTGCTGCTCCTGGCTAGCAAGCTACAAGTGAAAGGCACTTTACCAAGCAAGTCAAGCACTTGAAAACATCTAGGTTTTCTCTAGACAAGCCCAAGCCAATACAGTACCATGCCTCTCGTGCTCCTCTCAGCTGCCTACTGTTCTTTTTGGCTGGCAGGCTAAGAATGAAGAATCACTGCCTCTCAACTTCATCAACCAAATGACCTTTCTCTGAAAGAAGACCACAAGTGGGGTGCAAAGTGTGTAAAGACACATTGTGTCTATCCATTGTCACTGAGCCAAGTTTTAGTTTTGTGTGAACATCTGCTTGCTAGGAGGATTTGTCACAGAAAGAGCATTGACAAAATTCGTTGGGTTGGCCTTCATGGAATGCTAGAGGGCTCAGAGAAGACAGCAGCTTCTTCTGCCATAGTACAAGTGAAGGTACAGTACTGGTTGGAAAACCTTTGGGGACATGAGGATGTTTCCATGAATTGTTCCAGAAGTTTCTATTGAATCAAATTTGATAATGGGTGGGGGGAGGCAGGATTGGCGAGATGAGCACAGCGGCCCACCTTTGTTGCAGATAATCAGGTTCTGGTGCGAAACCAGGAGGAGGACAATACACTTGTCCTTGCAGAGAGAAGAATGTGGAACAGAAGGATGAAGCAGCAGACTCAGCCCCCTGCAATTTTCCATGGTCCAATCTTGGCTGCAGAGAAGGAAGCCAGGCTGTCATAGTAATTTGTCTCAAAGAAACAGCAGAGTGTCAACACTTCAAACTTGACAAATCCTACCACTGCTGTTTGCACACATTGCAACTGCATGATGTGTAGGTAGAAGGATTTGAACATTAGCATGCATCACTATCTTAAAAGACACCTCAAAGCCTTCTTGATACAGTGGTGGCAGCAGCAAGCCTTCCATCTGTTGTACTGCAAGCAGCACCATAGAAGAGGCCTGGAAGCACAGGAGCTTCAGGGGTAGATCATGATAGCCGCAGTTTTGGGGAAAGCAGTACGGGATGGAGGCAAGAGTCAACATACGGGTCAGGATGACACCGTGACAGAGTATCATCCTGTTACCTGAATCAGTGAAAGACAATTTCCCTGACCTTTAGAAATCCCAGGCATCTTGCAGCCATATCTCCCCAGCTCTGCCTTGAGTTGCATGGATTTCCAGGTCCCTCCGCATAGACAAAAATGCTCTTCCATTGCAGGCAATGTAGTGACACTCTAATGCTTTCAGTAGGAACTAAACTTGGTGGTGCTGCTTTATTAAAAGTCAACCTCTGATTGCTTGGATGTCTAAAGATTAATATCACCCCACTCACTACCTACAGGTGATGATCTGGGAAAAGCCTGTTCAGCAACAGTTTGCTATATGCCTCCCTTTCAGTCAGTTTTTAAGATATGTCATGTCTCTGAAATTGATAGTACACACACACCGATCCCAGGTCATAGCTGTTTACATTTTTCCCTTTGTGTGAGTGGCTTTTCCAACGGGGATCTGGAAATGTACAACTCTCACTGATCTGGACAAGCATCACAGTTAAAGTGTCATCAAAAGAACATGCGATGGGCCAGCCCCAAACTGTGTGCCTTTTATTCGGATACAGACCAGATCAGGAGGCCTCTGTACATCCCTGATGCCTTTAAATAACTCATAGATTTAAGATGGGGATTATGTGTTCCTAGCTGCCAAACCTGAATTTTTAGATTCATGTTCTTACAATAAGTAACACACAGTATATGACTTGCAATAGTAACTATATCTGTGTTCAATCATTAATATGTTATATTTGTATGCAGGACAGTGTTAGCAGTAAATACTGCAGGGAAATTCCCGGTGTGTAACTTCATACTACTGTATAGAAGAAGTTCCCTGTCTACAAAATTCTCCAAATGAGCGAGCTGGGAGGAACTGTTAGCAGTAAATACTGCAGGGAAATTCCTGGTGTGTAACTTCATACTATAGAAAAAGTTCCCTGTCTACAAAATCCTCCAAATGAGAGAGCTCAGAGGATTAGTCCATACTCCCTTCTTCCCTCTGTGTACCACTCATATTCTTCCTAATCTTCAAAAACCAGAAGTATTTAATTCTCAATTCCTAAGACAGGCAAAGCTTCTATCCTCGGCTGTAATACTACACCTAGCAGGCTACCTGAATCTCTCATGACACCTTCAAGATGGGTGGGATGACAGGATTTCAGCAGGAGCGACTGCCCACACAGGCAATGGTGAAACAGAGTCTACAGCAGGTATGGGAACCATCCTAGTCACACCCCAAATGCCCCCATCCCCAGGTTGTTCTTGCACCTCCAGGGCCTCCAAGACACCACTCCATCACACACAAAATATATTAAAAATAGAAATGCTGCTCAATTGTTGTTTTTAACAAAGTGCAAGACACCCACACAAACTATTTTTAAAGTCATGTCCTGCAAAAAAATAAAAAAAAATGAAGTGAACTTTCAATTTCAGTGACCTGCCATTCTCCAAAAATGCCAGAAAAGCAAACCCCGATGCCAAAGCAAAGATTGGCGCCTTTCTTTACAGGAGAATCACTACTCCTGGAGGTGTGAAGAAATAGCAGGTCATCTTTTGGGGGGAAAATCTGTTTAGCAGGGAATGAGTAAAGAAAGTCCAGGGGCTGCATGCAGTCCACAATTTCTATCCCACACGTAGGTTAAAAAAAAAAAACAATGAAGAATAAATTCGCTTTTCTTTTATTTCATTGTTTAAAAGCAATTAGTCTAATTGACTGGTACATTGCCTGGCTATAGAAATGATATTTGATATATAAAGCCACCATGTGTCTGTGTGTGCAAGAGAGAGAGAACAGTTTGGTTTAGCTTAGTTTTAGTCTGAGTTAGAGACATAAAGCTGTGAGACTTTCTAGAGAGAAGTCTTGAATCAAAGAGAAAGCTGTGTTGGGTGGGTTTGTTGTCTGGAAATATGGTGTGCTTTTGCTGGAGCTTATGTATAAGCAAGCATCAATCTCTCTGTCAAAAACTATGATTAAACTACTGTATAAGCAAAAAGAAAAACAAAATTTCAGCTGTGTAAGAATTTTACAGTTAGTACTTAATCTTCTTATTCTTTTTGTTTCAAAAAAAAAATAAACTTAATTTTTCTTTATATATCCTGTTTATTATTTTTCAAAATAGCAAGTAAAAGATGTTATACCATACATTTCAATGGCCAACACGGCAACATGGTCAAGATTGTCACCAAAACAACATAGGCTGTGTGTTCTGACACTTTAAAAAAGGGCAGTGAAAATTCAGCCCTTAACTGTGTCAGGGTTTAAGCAGTGGTGGTAAAGGGCTGTTTGCTTGGCTTTGGTAAAGAGGATGACCCAGAAGAAGGAAACCCTCTTACTGGTCAGACAGCAAATTCAGCAAGAAGGCTTGGGGTGGTTGTCGTTTGGTGGCAGCGAAATGAAGAGCAGAGGCAGGCGAGCCACCTCGCACAATCACCCATGGTTAGTAGTTAC